TGAGATGAGGAAGATTTGAAAGAAGCAGAGTGTTTTGGGGAAGTGGGGGTGTGGTGAGGATAAAGGGAGGCTGGCAGGAGTTCAATTTTGCATATGTCAGGTTAAAGATGCCTCAAGACATTCATGTGGAGTTCAATGCGCAACTGGAAATGTGAGTCTATAGGACAGCAGCCCATGCATGCAGCGGCACTAAAAACAGGTGTTGCCCTTTCTACGATTTTAAAGAATTCAAGGTCCTGCTACTAGGGCTTCACAGTTCACATAACTCTTTGCTATTCAAAGTATGACCCCTAGACCAGCAACACAATAACACCGGAGCACTCGTTGGAAACGCAGACTCTCTGGCCTTCCTCAGACTCGAGTCGGAATCATCATTTTAACAAGATCCCCATGTGATTAATATACACATTAAAATTTAAAGGCACTTCTCTGATTTGAATTGCCTGGGAGGCTCTTTAAAATTATAGGCTCCAACCCAGAACAATGGAGGTACAATGTCTGGGAGTGGGGCGCAGGCCTGTGTGTTTTTATCTGGCCACCCAGGTCATTCTGATGTGCAGTCTGGGTTAGAACCACTGATCTAACTCCTCGCTCCTGTCATGTTCCCTCTGCACTACTAGGTCTAGATGCTAGTGCCCCTGGAAACCCTTCTTTGAAGAGATGTGCAAATCTAAGATAGCACAAAGGCACGTAACTAGAGTAACCATATATCCTTGCTTACGGGATGGCCTCGGTGTAATTATTTGTGCCCCTTTCTCTTCCAAAAGTATCCTGATTTAGATGAGAAATGATATGTTCTCCCAACATAGCACAGAATGGCTCTGTACTTTATATCTCTGAATTATAAAGCCCTAATAAGAACAGGTAGAGCAAAATGACAGAAGGCCTTTGCCTTGACAGATGAATCCAATGCATAGGGACTCCTTGTGCTTAGATATTAGTCCTTACAGACTTCTAGGTACAGCTTATCAGACATACATACATACATTCCCTCAGTTGGGAGAAAGGTTGGGGATATGGGGCTCCTTCCAGGGGTTGGGGTGGGGTGGGATGCAGTTCAAGTACTTAAGCCCGCTGTCAATTAGCCAGAAGGTGGTTATCAGTCTGTGATTATCCCAGCCCTTAACAAAAACTTTTCCTTCCTTTTCCTTTAAGATCTTTTATCGTTCATTAGCTACTCCACCCCACAGGCTGAAAAGGACAGGAAAGAAGGTGAATAAAAAGTTATTTTAGCAGCCCTGCTCATACACCTTGTGGGAAAGAAAACAATAACTACTGGGCTGTTTCTGGTTACCTGTGAATTTAAATCCCCTTGGTTCATCCCTGTTTCCAAATTATCACAGCTGGTTTGAGGGCTCATTGAAGGCCTACTGATTGCCAGTAAAATTAAATTGCGAATTTTTTTGGAAAAGGAATTATTCCTGTGCAGAGTGAAATAGTCAGATACTGATGAAGCCATTTGAGGGGAATTTTCCAGTCCTCTTGCTAAATTACTTGCATGGAGGTGAGCATTGTGTTAAGAGTGGGTAGAGCATTAAAAAATAACTGTTAAATTGGACTGAGATTGTCAATGGAATCTCTGCAGACCACAGAGGTCCTTTAATGGGCACCTGAGTGCAAGCGCCAGTGTCGAGGGTGGAGGTCAAGGCTATTTCCTCTCTGCTCTCTGAACTGCCAATCAGAACAAGCCGAAAAGGTGGGAGAGGTTTCTCTGTGACAGAGAAAGCAACACAAGCTGGTGTTTCCCTGCCAGACCTGGAATCAGTATTAACACTAGCAGCTTGGGGAGAATGCCTTATCTTTGCTCTCTGTTAACAGTTAACCAAAGGCTTTTCCTTCCAGCACTCTCCTAAGGAACAAGTAGTTTGTTGGTCCTGGAAAGCGATGCTGTTAGGAGGCCCCAAATGGTCAAACTTACCAGTAAATGCCTAGGGTACAGGTCAGCAGGTGGGCCTGATGAGAGAATCTTCTCCTTTTCCTTAGGGGTTTAGAGGTAAAGTTTAAAAATCTTACTCTCTTTTCCGGAACCGGAAAAGGGGAACCGGAAAACCAGAAGATGAAAAATTGTAAGACCCACCTAGCCAGGTCTGAGAAAACACTTGCAGTGATTAGAATGGGAGAGAATATCAGCAATCAGAAGCACAATATCAGCAGAAGGATTCCCCAGTCATTCAAGACATGCAGTAATGGTGACTTCACTCATGGATTGAAGTACATATACTGAGCCAGAGGGGAAAATTTTCCCTTCTATGCTTCTTGACTTCTTGTGGCTGGACTAATAATAAAATTGAAAAAGACCAGATAAATAGGAGAGAAACAAATTTAATACGTGCACACAGAAGATCATAAATAATATTCAGAGCAATGATGAACCAGCCCACCTTTTTATATTTTTTTAGACAAAGAAACAATAAATTTGTGAAGATTTGACAGGACAAAGAAACTTAATTCTGGAGGCTTATTTGTAAGGAATCTAAACAGAAAAGTGCCTGGATGATAAATTAGTAAAAATTAAGTTTATTTACACAGCCTTCTGAGCTCTAGATTCCTTACCTCTAGCATTAAGGGTGGCTCTCTGCACCCTGCCCCCCTCCACCAGGAGCAAGGAGGATACCTTTCACAGGGGAGAAATATTTCCTGCCTTCAAGGAGATAAGGGAGGCTCAATGTGCCCTTTTTACATGGACTGCTGGTCAAGTCACCTTAACTCAAAGTAATTAATCTGCCATAGTGGGATATTTGGGGGCAGCCTGCCCTGGACCCTGACAATAGCTAACTTATGACCCTCTAACAACAAGTCCATGGTGGTTTTTGGCTTCAAAGGAAGCCTTAAAAAGAAAGTGGCACCACTCAGCTTTTGTAGTCCATCTCAGAGAGAGATTGGTAGGAGAGCAATTTGCCACCCCAAAATGTGTCTCTTTGGTCTAAGAATTATTTTAGGCTGATTATTTTTAAGAAACTGCAGACATAGGAAAAGCTCTAAAAACTGAGTAGAACTTACCCTTGAGTAAGAGACATGTATAAAGGAAATCTCCACTTGTAAGGGTGTCTCCCTGACTTTACCAGGAAGAGGGGATGACCTTAACTCTGGAAACTCATATCAACGAGAGGCAAGGACTTAACTCTGCATAATAACCTCACCCTTGTTTACTGGGCTTTTCCTTGTAAACTTCCATACTCACTTCCCACCCTCAAAATCTTCTTTTGTCTTATAAGCTGGCAACATTATTTAAGGCAGGGGCTTCTGTCATTTCAGAGGGTTACTCAGTTTTCCCAGGCCTATCCCACATATATAGGACGTATATCTATTATTAAACTTTAATTTGTTTTTCTCCTGCTCATCTGTGTCATATCAATTTTATTGTTAGACCAAACAGAAGAACATAGAAGGGTAGAGAAAAATGTATATAAGATTGTTTTCATACATGTCTAATGGCCTAGATATTATATAGCTACTTCTACAGTCAGTGCGGAAGGTAAATAAAAATAAGCAAATATCATAACAACTTACTTTGTGCAAACAGGGAAAAGAATGTTGAGAAAAAATTGTCTTGAGTCAGGGTGAGTCAGAGTTGGCAAGGCCAGGAATATCTTTCCTCACCCTGTACGTAGCTGTGGATACTCAGGTCTTTGCTTTTAATCTTGCTTCCCAAACATGAAATATAGCTGAGAGTTTTAGACAGATAGATAGGGTAAGCCTCCAATTTTTGCATTATGTTGTACTATCTTGGGTGAAATGTACTCACTAACAAATTTTGTTGGCAGAGCGAGGTCCATCACTGCATGGGAAGCCTGTGATCCTGAGCGGGAAGGGCCAAGGACATGATGTTGGCCTTGTGCTCTGCCCCTTCATGCTCTGGGTGACCCTGATAACAGCTGTCAGCCTCCTAGGCCTCTACTTCCCCACCTGGAATAATTTTACTCAATACAGATCTTCTAGTTATAGGTCAGGTGTAAGGATCCAGGGTACCATTTTTCCCAAGTTCTTTGAGACTCTCCAAAGAAAAATACCATGGGAAAAAATCCACTAAAGTACTGACAAAGAAAGAAAACTTTCCCTGGCACCTCTTCCTTCTATAATTGTGACAAATTATAACTGGAAATGCTGAGCAACTGTAAAGTGAGAAGCAGTGACTTCTTCTTTACCTCTCTATTTCACAACAGAAGCATTGCAGATGGAGCCAATGTTTTCATCTCAAGAGATCATCAAAGACCCTGCTTCAAAACCCACGTTGAAGTAAAGATCAAGAGGGCGGGGGCAGCCAGCAATGTAGTTAGAAGGACCCAACATTATAGTGAGTCTTTTCTGGTATTAATTAATGTTTCCTGGAGCTTTAGCAAATATGGGAGTGAGGGGACCTATGCTTCTGCTATTTATTATTTTTCCGAATGAGTTCTTAATTAGTGCCATTGTTGACAACATAAGGGGGCTTTGCCAAACACTGGCTGGCCTCGCCTTGTTGGTGTCTTCTCTTGACTCTAAACTCAGGGCAGCCATAGTCCCTCCTCTCCTGCCAGGCTCTGCAGCAGTCGCAGAGAGGAAAGCCAGAGTAGCATCTATATTGGCACTTCAAGCCCATGGTCCAACACAGAATTTTCCAAACACCTGAAGACTCATAATTTACATGAGCATAGTCAAGGCTCTGAGCAGTGCGGCCAGTTTGATTCTGACTCAAAATTTCTTTATCAATACAAGGTACCTCTTCTTGATGCCACCCCAGTTAACAAAATTCAGAGCAGTCAAGAGAGACAAGTTGTTTGGGAAGTGCTAGCCTAAAGTCACCATAGATGCTAGAGAACAATTTTTCTGTTCCAAACAATGCAAGGAATAAATTAATTTTGCATGGAGTCACTCTAAGTCTGTCCTTCAGCTGGAAGTGTCAATATGGAATTTACTTTCCAAAAAATAAAATCACTCCTACTAAAGGCATACAGGAGCTCCCAGAATTTGCTGGAAGCAATGAAACACACAGTGCTGGGAACACAGCTCTGTTTTGGTACCTGAGGCTCCTGGTCATGACCGCTGGGATCCCTCTCGTAGCTCTCTGCATACAGTCTGATGGTGGCCCGCATGCCACTGGAGGAACTGAGCCGGAAAATGAGCCGTGAAGCATCTGAGAAAATGATCCTCAGGCCCTGGGACCAAGAACATTCGGAATGAATGAGTGAACAGATGAATACACAGGCAAAAACAATTAATATCTACTTTAGATATCAGCATGTTATTATGAACTAAAGATACTCAGAATCATGACAACTTATAATTGGCTCTCGACACTCACCCAAGCAAAACCATGAGGTGAACCTAGAGGCTACTTAAGGTTATGCATTAATCTCTTTATTCTATTTCTGTTGCCTTGTGGTTAATGCTAGGGGAGGGTCAGGAGCAAAACTGTGAACAGATGCTCAAGTTTTTCTGGTCTTGTGACGTGGGTGGAGGTAATAAGATGAAAAGATATTAATGTCCCTGTGGCCACAGTTCATCCCTTATAAACCTAGGTGCAATGGAGGTAGGCAATTTATCTATTACAGTAAGACAAATTGTCCATGTTAAGGTTACTCCATGTGATGTTAGGCTTTGCTTTGAGTTCATCTTCTCTTTGTTTCTTTCCTTGTTCTCACATTCCTCTGGTAGAAGGGACCCTACAATGAAGTGCTCAGGGCTAGAGCCTCTGCTGGGTTCTGGAGAGAACCTGGGGACATCCCTATCCTCTTGGCTCTCTCCTTCCTTCTTACTTGCAAGACCTGGCCACGAGGGTGGGGCGGGCACAGCACTGTGGCTGAACCTCCGTGTTGCTCAGCAATTAATTTGTTTTGGGATCAAAATATCCTCATTCTTCGTGCAATTCTTATTGGAGACAGGGATATTTAAAAAATATGACTGTAAAATCATACTGTGACTTCTGTTGAAGGACATTTGTTTTCTTAAGTCAACTGATAAAGTCATTGTTATAAATAAGCATGTCAGCAAGAGCCAGAGGAAAGAGGACAAACAAAATAGTATGCCTGGTCACTTGTTACTTCAGAAAAAGAAGAAATCTTAGGTGACTTTGGTGTGAGGCATTTTCCATAAGAAATTTACCCTTGAAATTTCTCTGGTCTCAGATCCTGTTTGTTAAGCATAAGTCATTATTGAAAATATCTCATACTGGCCATATAGATCTCTTACCCACCCCACCCCACCTCATTCTGGTCACATCTACTGGGGCACTATGACTCCATGTGAGTTTTCCTGCTTTCTAAGTCTTACAGGCACATTTTGTTCTAGGCCCTAAAAAAAGCCTTAGTCTCTGTCGAAGTGGTTCAAGTCTGCCACAGTCTGTGCAACAAAAAGAAGCCATCTCTGTTCCTGGCAATTCACCATTCTGTGATACTAGTTTTGCAAACAGTATGATATTTCTAGGATTCATTCTTTGAGCAACCATTTTTGAGTAGCTGTTAGGGATCAGGTACAAAGCCCTGAGTATATAAAGGCAAAGACACAGTACTTGTTTTCCATAAGCCTGAAGTAGTTGATTACAATAAACAGAAACCATTTTCTTAACCAGCATATGCTGCTGGACAAGTGAATAGTTAGGAAATTCCAAATGAAGCAAAAGGAACAATTCTCTACTATCCAGGAAAAATGATGCATCAAGTTATGCTCAGACTGACAATGAAGCCCCAAAGGTTTGACCACTGTCTTCCATGTTTTCACAAACTCTCCCGAAGCTGCTAATTCTGTCAAAGCCTGCTTTCCCATTGTCACTACCTATGGCACATGTGAGTTCATAATTCATTGCTCAGGGCCATGGGTTATCTATAGATTGGTTAAAACAGTATCTAAGACTGGAGCCCTAAATCACCCATCACTGCAAATTCCAAACCACTTGAGGCCACCTCTTCTGATGACCTCACAGGCTTAACCCTTTATGTAATTCCCCTTACACAATTAACCCCCCAGATTAGTTTACAGCCAGTGAGAGGTATTTTAAAATCCAGATCATAACAAACCATCAACATGCATTACCTGCTTGTAACTAAGTCTTTTTTCAGTAAAATCATATTATTTTTTCCTAAGGGCAGCTGTATTTTTGGCTGTACTTGCAAGAGATATGTTAGAATCTACATCTGGTAGCCTGGAATAGATTTTGCAGTTGAAAAGATGATGAAGGAGTAAATAGCACACACTGACTGGAAATAATCCAACATCTTCTCTCTTTCCTAAGGGACCAACCAGGAGATCTTAATAGAGAATCCATGTTGCTTTGTGAGACCTCCAGGTGAGAAACACAATTCTCCTTTTACATGTGAAATAAAAAATGTTTAGCCCCATCCCAGTTCTGTGATGCAATGACCCTAGTTCCATGTCTGTTGAGTGTCACTTTGATGTGTGAATCGTTATATTGGATTGCTTTGGGGTCCACATGCGTCCTCCAACAAATGTAATGAATTTGCAACCTGCACATGAGCCATGATCTCTCCAGCATGTATCATTACCTACCAACAAATAAAGTATGAGGCCAAAGTCACCACTGACCAAGACTTACCAAGTCTCTAAATGCTCTGTAATTCCAACAAAAGAACAGCAATAATATACTTCACTTTTTTTCATTGTTAAACCAGGGGCTGGCCATACGGTTTGTCAGTGAAATTTGACATGACATTTGTTTTTATAAATCGTTTTATTCGAACACAGCCATTCCCATTCACTTATGTAGTATCTATGGCTCCTTTTGTGTTATACCTGCAGAGTTGAATAATTAGGACAAAGGCTCTCTGGCCCACAAGGGCTAAAATATTTACTGTTTGGAAATATTTACTGTAAGAAAATGTTTGCTGACCCTTGGTATAAACCATTACATTATCCACAATGTGGACAACTTACTTTTCAACCCTACCCCAGAAAACAAAAAAATTACCATCTACCTTATCAAAATCCCAGTAGAGAGAAATTATGAAGACTGGTTTTAAGGGTGTCCAATTCATCCATTCCCCTAAATATTTCAGCTTATAGCCATAGATTAATCTGGATATATATTTGGCACAAATCAACTTACTTCTGACCACCTACTCACAACATAAATTCACCATTTTATATCCTTATTTTTATTGCAGGGTCTTCAAGGCACTGTGTTATAAAATGCAATTTTGCAGTCACTATAGGAATATTGCTGGAGACTATATGAAATTCCACATGAGACATTTCCACAAGAGCCAAGTGTTAGGAAAGCCTTTCCTTCCCTGAGGTACTGGTATATTTTTGTCTTTCTGACAATAAGGACTTTACAACTAACCAGAACTCCCTTTTCAATATGGCTGCCAGGACACTTAATGCCAAAATTGAGGTTCAGCCCAACTAGATCCTTATGACTTGCATAAATGTACATTTTTCTTCTTCTGTTCTTAACTCTCTACACTTATTTATATCTTCCCTAGTCTTGATTTCTGTTTCTTATTTATATTCTAACAATTTCATTATGTGTGTTTTGGCTGCCACAAATCCTCCCAAAAAAATCAAGGCCCAATGCAAATGAATAAAGTAAGTTCCCATCACAGTCTTGACCCTAAAGCATTGAAATTGCTGAATTATGTTTGGGGTCCTTCATTACTGGATAAGCTCTGGGAGGCAGAGCTTTATGTTCATTGTTGACTATTTATCCACATAGCCTAGGACAATACCTGGCACACTGTAGGTTCGACAACTGGAAGGAGCACCAATGGAAGGCCTTCTTCCACATTTAAGAAGGATTCAGAGGCCAAATGAAAACACTTTCATATTTCCCATCAGTGAACTAGGGCTAATGTATTCACCTTGAAGGGCATTTGTGAGAGATCAGTATATTTCTATTATTTAGACACATCATCATTATGGCAGCTGTTTTGTATCTTCTCATCCTACATTTTTAAGGCAAGAGTTAGTTTTGACTAAAAACAATTGAGTTGGGCCATCGTAGGTTTCTGTCCCCAGTTATGTGATCTTAGACAAATCATAAGGCCATTAATTGCAAACTTTGCTGGACATTGGAATCAGCTTGGGGAGGTCTTTAAAAAATATTGATACCTGACTTATACCCCAGACACGTGATTTATTTGTATGAGTGTGACTTTGGGCATCAGAATTGTAAAAGCTCTTCAGCAATTCTAATGTGTAAACAAATGCGGACACCGTTGCAGTGGCCTGTTTTCCTCTGAATCACTGGCTTCAATATCAAGTGACTGGACTATATTGCAAGTCAGTCTTAAAGAAGATCCCTTTAAGAGCTAAGATTTCATGCATATATTACCATTGGACTGGGATCTTAGGAGGCCCATACACAGGGGGACAATAAAACATCATCTTGCTGAGTTCTGAAAGCCTCCTTCTTCAGCAGGAGAACCATTAGAAGTATCTCCTCTTGAGCCATCTGACACTAATTGTCTTTAGCACAGTCTCCTAAGGAATTCTTGAAGCAACAGTGAAGGAATGCATGATGCCTCTGCTGCCATGGCAGCTACAGAAGCTGAGATGTCCCAAATGACACAACAGCCACAAGCTTCAAGAAGGAAAAAAGATGCCCTTATGCGTTAGAGGACACTGTTCATTATGGGGTGGGGTATCCAAAGGGAACTTTGGTTCCAAGCATTTTTCTTCCCTTTGAGTGCCTGCAGTTGCATGCCTTGGTGACAAGGGTTTTGCCCACCTGAGCTTTGTCACAGTAAGGAAGGATTATTAAAAGACTATGCATCCCTTGCAGGTATCTCCACACAAAAATCTTCCACTTGGCTTCCAGTTATCTCTGCAGCATCCCTTTTTCTCCCCAGATATCCCCCTCTATGTTTTGCTGTTCATGGAGTCAGTTTGGAAATGATACAGAAATAACAGTTATAAAATCCAGGCTTGAATTCTGGCTTAAGCCAGTGACTTTGAGTAAGTCACTTAAGCTCTCTAAGCCTTAGTTTCCTAAAATATGGGTGAAAAATAAAATAGCCTGGCTTATTAGGTTTTTGTGAGCATCAAATCAGAAAATGTAAGCTTTGAAAATTGTAAATTACTATATAAATATTATTTTGTTATTATGTTAAAGCTTTTAATGAAAATGGTGCTAGGCTGTAAGTTGTCTAACCTTCCAGATTTTGCAGAAGATTGTTAAATAAAGCCTAAATGATGATGGTTT